AAAGCAATGTCTCAAAAATATTTATATCCTTGTGTTTTTGTGGGAGAGGAAAATCGTATGAAAGTTATGTTGTTGCCACAAAAACACATTTCTGGCATCTTATCTGATTTTTGTGAACTTTGTGAATCCTGAAATTGTGATGAAATAGCTGTGCCCTTTCCTTGGTCTGCCTTCAGTTCTCTTTTTGTGTCAGGCTTCCTGACTTCACCTSTCCAGGGGAGAGGCAGAGTTTCACAATTCTTTAATTTTTGCTGGGCTTTGGGACACTGTGTCTGTCGTAAACTGTGCCAACCCAGGCGGTCTGAATGGCTCTGCAGCTTTCCTTTCAGGGAGTCTGTGAATATTCCACCTCATGAAAAATTGAATGGTATTTAAATATTTAAGCTGAAATATGCAAACTTAAATATTTCAGATAAATGGAATTGAAAATAACAGTCTATATGCACATTTGTCCTGCCTCAAGCTTTCCCATCCATTAATGGCAGAGCAACCAAGCCTGTTTTCTTTGTAAACCACAGCCCCAGCCTGCTCAGACAAATCTTGTCTGAATCAGATCTCTTGATCTTTCCTATGCCTTTTTTCCTAATCCTGCTTGAGGTTTCATAATTTTAGACAAGATGCATTTTTCAGCCTGGCTATAGCATCGTCAGACCCTCCCGGGCCACCGAGATGGACRTGAACATTGTATAATCAACATTTTATAAAACTCATTGCCTTCTCAGAGACACTCCCCTGTCAAATATTTTCTGCCAGTTTTTCCCTACAGCACACTCATTGAACTCACCTAATTCAGRACCAGCAGTCAACTCAACATGCTGTGTTCATAAATTATTACAGAGCAGCTCCACTTTGATCACAGCACCTCAGTGAGTTCCTGCAGATCTGAGATCCTCCAGAACACACTGCCTTAGTTTGTGTTCCAGGGAGTCACCGTTCCTTTTCCACAGGAGGGAGCTTTGGTATYCTGGCAGCCTATAGAACCTGAATTTATACAAATTAACCGTATTTTGATGATGTTGATACTGAGGAGCTCCAACAGTATCGACATGGCTCAGCAACACAGAGTGCTGTAAGAAATGTCCTCCCTGGGATCAGCGAGGCACAAACCCCTGTCCTTAGACCCAGCAGAGGGAACATTCCTCATGATGGCACAGTGCCAAATTGATTTTTCCTGTTCTGCAAACTTAACACGCTTTCTGCCCTTCCAGGGGCTGGGTCCTGTGTAGGACAAGAGTCACAATCTCTACTTGGGCGGAAAAAACTGTACACGGCAATCCCAGAGGCATTCCCCTCTCTGAGCCTGTAAAGAGGTTTCCCAGCAACAGCAACACTGCAGAGGTACCATCAGATAAAGCATAAAATCACAGCCCTGAGCACCTGCTACCATCAAGCATCCCTTAGCACTCAGCACAAGACTGAAGCTGTTAGTTCCATTTTCCTGACCACATTCCCCTGTGAAATTTAAATCCCACCTGCAGCTTCACTTTCTCTTAGTTTCCAAGCTCTTGGTTTCCTGCATGCTGTTGAAAACTTGCCACTTTCCACGGTTTAGGAAAAGGGAACCTGTGCAGGAGATATTTATTAATCTGGGTGAGGAAATAAAAGACATTTTTTTAAAGTTAAAGCATTTGCCTTGGAAAATCAGCACCTCGTGATCAACACCTCGATAAACTCCTGCGCCYAATGCTGATGCTTCTTCAGGAATTTGCTGCTTTTGTCCTGTTTTACAGCAGAGAAAGAAAGGACAAGTGATGAAACTATTGTAATTATTACCAGTTTCAGGAGGAAGGTTTCCATTTCAGAGCATCTGCAGTTAYACCAAACAGATTTGTGTCTACTGGCACATTTTCCTGAGTCTTTCCCAGCTCTGTGGTTTGCTCTGTGCCATGATTTAGGTGTTTTCAGAGAGCTCAGTTTAGACTGCAAGCCTCAGAAGCAAAATGAATCTCAAGTTAAACWGAGTCTCTGCTGCGGTGTGAATGAGAGAAAATATCCCACCAAAACATGCATTAATATTTCTGATGYATAATATATTTTATCCATATTTTGGATGGTCTAACACATATTCTGTGAGATTTGTCCAAAAGCCACCTCACTGTCTGATTAGCATATTTTAACACCTACTGCATTTTCAAGCATTTTCATTTGTGGGAATAATGCCATAAGAACTTCTCAGGTAAAGGAACTGTCCCTCYACAGATTTTGTTTTGTCAAGTGCTYATCATGAAYTGAAACATTTTTCTGATTAGGTGTGGGTGTTGTTTTGCAATAAAGGTGCTGAACAATAGTGATTGTACATCCAGCAAGTGCAAGTACTTGTATGTGCAAACCCAGGTTTTTGCATGCTSAAAAAAGGTGATTTTCAAATTTTGCAGGCACATTTATGGATCTCTGAAAAAATTTTACATTTTCAGCAGAAGAACTCTATTACTGAGTTCTAAAATACCCTTCTTTTAAATGTTTACTCACTCAAAAAGTGCAGKCAAATGATTTTGGATGTATGAAGCCTGTTAAATTAATGGAATATAATAAAAAGTTAGTACATATAAAAGTTTATAMAAAAGAGATAGCAAAATAAGCTTGGGACTAGACTATCATGTATATGTTGTACATCGTCACGTTAAAAAGTTTTAAAAGGATTACACTGAATCCAATTAAAAAGCTGAGAAAGAGGAGAAAAGGATGGATCAAATGGGTCTTTTGTTTTTTAACTTAAATTTTTCTTCATATGGCTCCAAAAATGCATCCGCAGRAAGAAATTAGGTGAGTAATTGCTTTTCCCCTTGGAAAAAAAAACCAAAAAAACCCCAACCCAGTGAAAACATTTATTGGTAGGTCAAAACTATTGAATGTGGTGGTGATTCTTTTAGAAAAATGTRTAGGTTTGTTACTTAAACATAAAAAGTCAAAAGAATTCCATTAATTGGAGAAGAAATTTAGCAAGGGAAGTCTCTGGCCTCTTCATCTCTGACCAATATACATATTTTTAAGTCCATCATGGRCAAAAGATGGTGGGGAAAGAGTTGGGAGCTTGCTGGGAGGGTGAGGAGAAGGGTCATGTCAGCAGAACTTTGCAATTCTGTGACCCAAAACTCAGGCCATGGAATGAATACATGACTTTTACATCTTCTTGAGCTTCTGCTCACCTGTGCAGTGGGAAAATATAAAAAAAGCCAGGCTGTGAGAATCCAATTCTTGTTCCGTACTGGTGCTGCTTCCAGCAAATTGCTTCAAGAAAAATAAATCAGGACTTTAGGAATGGAAATTTTCTAGCTGTTGTAAAATTACTACAATATATTTTACACCAACTTTTTGCAAGTTTTTTTCCCAAATTAGGCTAATGTGTGAGATATAGGAAAAATGTGGATAAGCAGAAAAAAAAAATCAGGATGGGAGCAGGGAACTTGCAACTTCTCCAAATGAAAATATTTCAAATTCCTCAATAAATAAATACATCAAGCAATGTATTCCTTGACTTAAACTGTGCTAAGCTCATCCTTGGTGCTTCTGGGATGTTGCTCGGAGTAACCTGGGACCCAGGCTCTAAAGCCAATGGATGGGTGATATGCTAAATACATATYCTGCCTTTTGAGATAGCTGAGAAAGCAATGGAGAAAAAAAGCATCTTTTTCACTAATTCTGTGAGTCACTGCTAAGGGACTAAATATAATTACTTAGGGGATCATTTTCAAAGTTAGGTTTCCTGATGATTTTGCAGCCTGATTGCTCCTAGATGCAGAGCACCCATCAATCAAGTTTAGACACAGAAGTCATTCACTATTGTTATTAACAATTCCAAAAATAACACAACAAGGGGGCACTAACTGAGCCTTTGGTATTCGACAACAATTAAAATTTAAGAAAATTAATCTTGAAATACCTTATTACCTATGATGAAACATACAGAATACTCAGAACAAYAAAATAGATAAAAATGCGTTGCTCATTGCTGAACACTTATGCTACATTTGATCGTGAATTTGTTCGCTTTTTGGATATCAGGTGCAAAAAAGTGCAAAGAATATTTAGTTAACTGTTACAGTACCACATTACAAAAAGTATTTTCTAGGCCACAAAGGCCACTGCAGATGTAATTTATATTAAGATAAATGTATACACAAAATAGTTCTTCAATCTCCACATATATATATATATATATATATATATATATATATTCTCTATCAGCCTTGCAGAATCATGTTGAAAATGATCTAGGCCACAGATTTTTGTTAAGATAACAATGACAGGAGGAAAAAAAACCACCTTCGCAGATGAGACTTTTTTCTCCTATTAAAAAAATKACTCATCCAGAGCAAATGGAGGGATGAAATTCTGCAAGGCTGCTCAGTATTTATGGTGATGGAAATACAATCTTAAGCAGGGAGGATCAGTGTTCGGCATTACCAATCCTCTCTGGGWGAAAACATTTCTGCCTCAAGGCTGTGAATAACAGCCTGAAACAAACTTGGGCTGGAGTCTTGTCTTTGCCCCCTTTTTTTTCTTTTTTTTGCCTTTTTTTCTTTCTTTTTTTCTCCCTTTTTTTTTTTTTTTTTTTTTTTTTTTTTTTTTTTTTTTTTTTTTTTTTTTTTTTTTTTTTCATTTTAATTTGTAAAGACTGTCTGAAAGATTGATTTTTTATATTTTTTTTCTGGCTTTCTGTGTTCGTAGGCACAGGAGGCAAGRTGTAAAAGCTKCCTCCTTTTTTGACCTGTAAWGGTCAGWYCAGCCTTGCTAACTTTYCTGGAGGAGTTAAGACACCTCGAGGCAGGTTTGGCTGTCYTAGAGATCAGTCAGTGGAGGGACTGGATCTTTAGAAAAATCTTTGTCAGCCAGGCTAAAACCAGCCCAAAACAGCTCTTTGGAAGTTTGCCAGAATGGCCGTTTCCTTTCATGTTTAGATTAATTCTCAAAATTTGTTTCTTTGTCATAAATCAATCTCTTGTTGGTGTTTKTCTGCTGTTTTCCCAAAATGTAGTTTTGGAAAACACTATCTCCTCAGGTTTTTTTTTATGTATATTGCAAAGATACAAGAAGTGCCACCACCACAACTTTTTTCTAATCACAGTCCAGCTTTCAAAATCTCAGACCCGATCACGCAATGCTTGTTACACTCTTCATAGAAAGAAAGAAAAAGAAAGAAAAGGAAAACAAGAAAGCAAATATCTGATTATCTGTTTGAGGTAAACTTCAGTGTTTAGAGATAAATCCACAAACTAATATCCAGTTCTCTTGTTTTAAAAGCATCTGACTACAGCCAAGAGTATTTTTTTTGCATTTGTTGTCACTGTGTTTTTTAATGAGTTCATTTGATCGTAAAATAGTCACATTTCAGTTTATCTCCCCCTATACTGGCAGAAAACACATCTCCAATTCATATTTAGAACTTATTTCTAGAGGCATCCAGCCAGCAACCAGAAACTAAATTCCATGTGTGCTATGCACTCAGTCTAAATAACCTCAAAGAAATCATTGTCTGTCGCATGAAATCGAGAATCACAGAAATGTTGGGCGGTAACTGCAATATTTGGTCAATTTTCTGAAGAGATAAATCACATTAAATTGATTCCTTTACTTCTGAGCATCGTCTGCCCTACATCTTTGCTTGTGAAGAGATGTTGTCATGAGTGCTGGAAGGTTGTAACTGCATAGATCCWGTCCTCACACCTCTTCCAGAAGGGCTGGACTAAAACCCCTGGAAGCCAAAAGATCCTTCTCACCAGCTCCAGTGGGCTTYAGATCAGCCCTTCCTCCCTGCCCAAGGAATGAACTGATTTTTCCAAACACCCAAAACATGACAACAGTYGGGTTTTATTCGTGCAACACTCAGTTTGAAGTGCTGTCTTGCAAAGTCATAGAGGATTTAGTGCAATTTAGAAGGAATTTACTACATGAGCTATATATGAGTATTTGCTCTCCCTCAAAAGAATTAGGTGTGAAAAGCTGCAGTAGTTTTGAATTGCTGAAGGGATTTTTTTTTTTTCTGATTTCTTTGCCTTAGAAAAGGTCCCATCAAAACACTGCTTGGATATGACACTGGATATATGCCAGAGATAAAACAGGTGAACGAATCTGCATGARGAAGGGCTCTTTTTGACTCGAGTCAACCTCATTCACACATGAACAAACTACTATAAAYTGTCATGTAAGACTTAGAATAGGAAAAATATGKATTTGGATTAAAAAAATACGGATMCAGTTCAWCCGCGGAAGCCGAACCTTCTGTTGATGGAGATGTGAGCTACGAGGGAGGTTTGGGAGCTGACCATGAGGAATCCACTGCTGCTCCCTAGGGTGTAAGAGGTGGTTTTGGAGAGGAGCACGATCCCTGGCTATCAAAACTGGTTGCTCGGCCAGGCAGCTGCAAGAAAAGCATCATTTTTACAATTTACAAATGTCATCATATCTGGCTGCGCATCACACTTATTTCAGAGGATGAGAGAGTCTCTCAAAAAAGAATCCAAATCACATCTAGATACTTTCTAGTCTCTGGATCAAAGTCTCTGGCATCAAAGTGTCCAGCAGAACTAATAATGGAAAGAAAATTTCTGAAGTTTTAAAAAATCCCTGTGACTCGTTTCACAGGAGTGTGTTGATTTCACCAGCAGGGTTGGTACCTCTGTCTCCAAACTTACAACAACCAGACAGAGCCATGAAACTCTAAAAGGCACTTTTCTGCTGCCTTGACACAGTTTCCTCACCCCCACGCTCCTCTCAGTGTTCTACCAAAACCCTGCATCCTGTTTTTGCTGTCACAGGATGTGTTGTGGAACCACGTCCTGCAGAGTGGGGACATCCAATGGCCTGTGGTGCCTCAGGAAGAAGCTAATTTTTGTACACAGATTGCTTTTGTCATGGACCAAACAGTTCCTCTGCATTCCTTCTGCATCCTAAGGTACAGTGTGCATCTTTCTGAATCCAAAGCTGTGAGGATTTTGTGCACAGAACACCAGCAGATTGAGGAGGGAGTCCAAGCCCAGGGAATTGCGGATACAATCACCTCCACATCTGAATAAGCTTCCAGAAAGTGTCCATTGAATAGCTCTGAAGGGAGCTGCTGGTATGTTGCCACAATTTAGTCTAATTTGCAGGCCAGTTCTGCAGGAATGTTTTAGCAACACCAGTTTTTGCTAGAGATTTTTGAATAGGAAATGAGTGCTTTTGARTTTTTTTGCAAATGAACCTTTCTAAGTAGCTGTAAGCTCTTTATCATAATCTCTGGAAATTTTAAATGTCTTAATGCAATCTTACAGTGCTGTCAGAGCATMGTGGAAGCTTTTCAAAAGGCCCTATTAAGTGAAAAATAAACCCACACAACAAGATTAAAGTTGTGCTAAAGAACTTGTGCCTGATCTACAGGTGCTGCATTGATTTTCATGATCCTCAGAAGCCCATAAATATGAGGGATAAAAACATTCAATACCAAGGAGAAAGTTTTGCTACTCCTTACCTCTACTAGAGGATGCCAGTGGGTTATTGGTTTACGTGGGTAAGCCAACATTTCATTCCAATGATCTCTTCCAAGCCCTTCGGCATCGATTCCTGTCCGACACACTCCAATGACCTCATTGTGCCCTACTCTGAGARTTGGAGAGAGGCAGAATTTATTTTTAATAAAAAAATAGCTTTAATAACATCTGTTATAAAATTCTGTTTACTGGTTTAGTGTGGCACAGAACACACGGCCAGCGTTTTCACATCATTTATTGCAGATATTAGTTTTAATGGCAGTATAGTAATATTAAAYCCTGTAATGGTAACATCAAAAACCTCCAGCCACTACCAGAGTGCTTCCAGYAGCTATAAAAATAACAATGAAAACATAACCCTTGCCATTAAAAGGTTACAACCCAAAGGACATGAGGATGGAAAAGGATCATAATACACAAAGTTATCTGAGAGGAAAACATGCTTGAAGTTTGTGAGAGAAGAAAGTGAGGGAAAATGGTGGGGAATGCCTTGTTCAGCCTGCAGCCCTTCAGCCACTCTAAGAAGGACCCTCTTCATGTCAATTCTCTGTGAGGCCATAACTAATTGGGGTTTGGACATGTTACCAGTGAGGTCTGAACCCAAAGGTTACATATTGAAAGGTTATTTTACCCAATCAATGGAAGAATTAATTATGACTTCATTCAGTGACATAATTAGAACCTAATTCTTTTTTAGTCATTCAAATTTTCTTTCCTTCTAGATGCTATTTAAATAGGAATTAGAGGTGTGAAGGACTTTTTTAAGCAGGAAGATATACCTGATTTATAAAGATTTTACATAATCCAGCCCCCAGGTACAGACAGGAATGTATTGGAAAAGACAGGAAAGAAGATTGAGCGATACTTCTTCCTTATTCCACTTATTTACAACACAGAAAAAAATGCCACCTTCTAAAAGGTGTGGAAGCTTTGAACCTCTCCAGGAGGAGACCCCAGGGCTTTATCTTTTGTGACACTGAAGCTGCTCGTGAGCTCCAGAAGGCAGAAAGCAGTGCCCAGGAGTGGTGTGAGCTGCGCTTACCGATCGTAATCCATCACGGCGATGGAGAGGCTGACCTGGTCCACRTTCTCCGGGGGGATGTCAAAGATGATGGCCTCGTTGTAAACGGGGTTCAGYGTGTTCCTCTTGGTGGTGGTCTTCCTCTTCTTCAGCCTCCTCCCCTCGCACATCAGCGACACTTTGACATACGGGTCTGAGCGACAGAAAATCAGTTTACGCGTTTGCGTTCGAAACCGTTCAGATGTGTAGCGTAAGGACAACGTTTGGTGAGGGAATTTGTGTTGGACAGTTAAAAAAAATGCATGTATTTGAGTGTTCCTGGCAAACACTGCGTTTATCCTGCTGTAAAATATGATACAGCATGATAAAACGCATTTTACATTTTAAATGTAAACCAGGCATTCTGAACACTGGCTGCCAGACCAAAGACAGGAGCTACATCCAAACATGTTCTGTATCCATTCTCCTGCTGCTTCCACACCACAGCCATGCAAAACACACAAAACACAAGTTCTTTTTCATCCCCTGCCTGAATAGGCTCTGCCTTGTTATTTAAAAAAAAATTTTGATTCACCTGATGCGCCTGTTATATCCATTGCTTTGAGATTCCTGCATTTGATGACTGTCAATGTCATTCTCCCAGCAGTAGGCAAGTAGCAAAGGGAAAACATGATCTCACCTAAATCTATGCTTTCCTGAAAAAGAAAAGCAGCCATTACAAGTCTGATCCTACTGCCAACAATTCAGATCAGATCATGCAAAACTCTAGCATTTTTTCTTTTAACATGGAGAGAAGCTTCTTTTGCAACCTCAGATGCTTTTGGAGATGCCACAAGCGATTTTCAAAAATTATTTCCAGAAAGTACAGGAGGAATAAGAACAAAATAATAATTTGGGGGAGGATGTGTAATYACTAAACTGAAAAACTGAAAGGAAAACAGAGACAAAATTTTCTGGGTTCCTGATATGCTTGTGTTGAATTCACACAAATGAAAAGGTGCTGAAAGCAGAATATCAAGTTCTGCTCTTGAAAACACTMATACTCCATCAGCTCCAATGGAAAGAAATATAATGGAATATTTCAATCATACACTTTTAGAACTCTTAGATCATACACTTTTATATCATTCCTTTAGACACTGGAATTTAYGTAGGAGATTCAGTTCTGCACACATGCATGTGCATGGAAAGCTAATCCTGCCTAAATGCTTCAAAAAGAAGAACATGCTTGTAAAAGTTGCCCCCTTTACTTCTCCAAAAGTGCTTTGGAAGGTTACTCTGTTTTAAAAGAGAAAAAAAGTCAAGGAGTAGCACCTGCAGCCTTCCTGGTTCAACAGGAACTTTTTGGAGGACAATATACTCAGAAGGATGGAGAAATATACTCAGAAGGATGGAGAGGGTCCATATGAATATTATGAATATTGTCACAAAGAGACAGGTTCTGTATTGCTATGTATTCATGCCATACAGTTTAGATGTTGCAACACTTGAGATGTGTAACCTGAGAGTTTCTACCACTCCTTATTTTTTTCCTTGTCTCACAGTTATATAATTATCCCAGCACCGTAAAAGTTTAGGTTTTGAGGTGTTTGTTATGTTCTAAATTGGTCCTGTTCCAAATTTTAAAGACACCTTTGCTCACTGCTCACTCCAAAAAAAAAAAAAAAAAAAAAAAAAAGAAAACAAAAAAAAAAAAAAAAAGTTAAGAACTTATGAAATGAGTTTCCAAGGGGCATACAAGGGAGCTGCTCTGTAAGGCAGCCACTCTCAAGCATTGCTCATGTGATCTCAAAGGACATTTTTTTTTTTTTTGGACTAATACTAAAAAGCTTATATTTAACATCTCAGCTTCAATATTTTATCTGTCAAACCTGCAGTTACCCTGAGAGTACAAATTCGTCTGAGAGCTGCTGGATTTATTACATAGCTGTTCCAGCATCAAAAGGCAAGCCTGATGTGTTTTTAAATGAAATATATTAAAATAATGATTGCTGTGTAGATGACAAATATATTGTTTACAGTTATGGGACAAGACTGGGCTTCTTGTTCACATTCTTCAGCTCCKTATGTGAACAGTTGTATTGACTTTCTTCAGGCTAATACTCTGTCTAAATTGAAACAAGTACTTCATGTCTTTCTTGAGTAAAGATGGATTTAATCACTTGCTTCAGGGTTTTGGTGTTGTTTTTTTTTTTTTTTTTTTTTTTTTTTTTTTTTTTTTTTTTNTGTTATTGTTTTTTCCTCTGCCTTGTACACTAAATTGAAAAATACAGTTTTGGAATAGCTTTAAAGTCTCTTTTGTGGTGGTAATAAAATATTGACTTTTGTGTAGGTTTGCCAATTCACATGTTCAGTCATTTTGCTGGGGTTTTGTTTTGACAATTACTGGTTTGATAAGCATGTGAACATGCACTGTGGGCTAATTTCACGCCTGTCAGAATTTCAGATTTCTCAGAATTTTGAAACAATTTAGCTCATTCAGTCCACATAAGACAAATACAGCTATTTGACCTCATTCGTTATTTGTCAGAAAGAGCACAGAATTTTGTGCCACTAAGTATATTGCCAAACTCACTTTTCTATTGCAGAAAAAAACTCTTGAACAGATGATGAGTAATTATTTTCATTAATTTGTGAAAGTGGTAAACAGTCTGTTACTTTCTACATTTTTGTCATATCTGAAAACTGCTTCAGAGCTTCTGCTACTGACATTACTTTCTGATTTCAGTCTGATTGTTTCTCATATCCACACATGAAACAGATCTCAGTATTTAGTTTGAAAACAAAGTAGAGTTCCCCAACTTTCAGTGCTTCAAATTTACCTAAGGTCTGTGTTGAGAAAGGTGACGGAGATGGGTTGGATCATGAAACACCAGAGGCAGCYGACAAAAAGACCTCATTTTTTCTTTTTCAGAGAGACAATTTGTGTAGGTGAATAGAGAAAAATTAATTTTTGAAGATGGGAGTGCAGACTTGAGTGCTCTATTATTTCTTTTTGAAGAGAAATTGGGTTTCACTCCAAGGTTTGGGTGTTCTCAGCTGATAAAGCAGGATACAGACAGGACTATGATTTAACTGCTTTAAAAGAAGCATTGCTCAACATCCTTGCAAAACTCACGTGGCTGTTACTCCACAGAACATTTTTGAAGAGCAGAGAAAAGCAGTTTCTGCTCTGAGTATCTGCCAAGATTGGAGGTCTCTGTTCATACAGAAGTCTGAATGTGTGAAGTTCTAAATGTTCTTTTGAAGAACTAAGTWTAGAATTACACACATATATTATAGTATCAGAGACTGAGTATTGGATAAAATGCCTGCGATATCKCCGTTTTCACACATTTTTATTGTTAGCTTGAGCACTAGAAGTTCATAAATGCTGAGCTGAAAACACAGATTCAGACCTAGATTATAAACAAAGTAATTCTTTGTTTTATTTTGTTTTTAACTTCTCATGACAGTCTTTTTCTATTACATTGATTATCATGAGTAACATTTTAAAATTTCCTGCATCCTTGAGCATTATTGATTTTAATTGACATTTAAATATAGGGTTCAATTTACTTTGGAATCCCAGTGCTATAAAAAAGTCGTATTTTTCTCATTTTATAATGCCCTAGATAATTCAGTTGACACAAGTAATCTTTGAGGACCCCTTCAGTACGGGCAAACCTGAAGAAACTGAGGCACAGAGTGCCCTCAACAATCCCATCTGCATTAAAGTGCACTTCAAACAAAACACAACACAGAAGACACATGGCCAGTGGCCTCCATTTGTTAATGTTTTTAATTAGTCCTCAGATTGCCTTGCATGTATCCTATATTTACCAAAAATTGCACTTAGCTAGGATAACTCCCGTGATACTTCATCTCTTTCATAGACCTATTTTGAGTTTTTCCTTTTCTTCTTGAACTAAATTTGGATTTCAATTAGCAGCCAGCTTTACAGAGGCTTGCAGTGATTGCCTCCCACTGACTCCCAATAACAGGTACAGAAAAACCAGCACTGAGCACAGCTGAGCTGGTGCCAATGGAAGCATTTGTTGACACTTCTTGTTTCTCCTTCACTCACTGCCCTTCTGAATTCACCAGCCATCACCAAGGACCTCAAACATTGGCCAGCACCATTCCAGTTTCACTTATTTTCAACACTACAATTTTACCTCTATCCAATCCATTTCTTGGTACAGTGGTGCTAGAAAAAAATAACAAAGAAAGCAATGATCTCACACACAAATATTGGTTATTCTGATGGACCTTGTGGGTTTTGGGCTACAGAATGCAGATTTTTTTTTTTTAAATGGCATAATTCTCATCCCACACTAACAACCGTGTGAAAGGATGTGCTGATAATTTTTTCCATTAGTCCCATTAGGATGGATCCATTAGGATCTGTCCATATTCCCTGCTTTGTGGGCTCTTGGGAAATTAGTCCAGGAGCTGGCACAGTGAGAAATAAAAAGTTCCTTGTTCCTTTCTATTTGTTATCATACCCAATGGACAGCAGTGCTCTCATTTTCACAYTGTAAAAGTAGCAGCATTTCTACAGGGGCTGCTCTCCCCACTCACAATAGGGATAAAAGGGGAGGGACATGAGAAGTTTGGAGTACTTGGAGAAGTTTGGAGAACTCAGTCAATTAAACTGATTTTTTTAGACTGTTGGTGCTGCAAAAAGCTTTGCTGTCACTTACTCCAATTAATTTTCTCAGTTGTTTCCACTAAATTCAATAAAAGAGACAGCTTCTAACTAGGAACCTCCACAACTTCACTGGGAAAGTAGTTATAGATCCTTCCATATCCAGGGTAATTTCTRCTCAATATTAGCACCAATAAGCCTGAACTGGATAGGAAAAACTCTTTAGTGACTAYATTGCCAGCTGAAGAACTTTCGTAGTCTCCCTCCTCTATGCCAACATCTGAACTGGTTTCCTATGCCAGCAGGGGTAAAAAGCTTGTGGGGAGCTGACATGTGAAATAAGGTGTCGTTTTTGAACTTTAGACAACTTTTTCACTGATTGCTTCTTCTTTTCCACTGATTTTTCAAGCCTTGAAATCCAAAGTCTTAAAAGATCAAGTTGCTTTGTATTCTCACAATGAACTGGGTAAATGCCACTGGAACTGGGGAATTTGTATGCTTTTGTTGTTACTTCTCTGTCATTAATTTCCATGGTTAAAACAACAAGTATCTGCATAATTAATAGTGCAAAAGAAATTAGATTGCCACAAAAACTTTCTTGTTGCTACTTTAATTATCATTCAGATTATCATAACCCACAGCTCTTAATCTCAATTTTAATATCTGGAACTACTTTCCTRTTAATTGTAATTTGAATTATGTTTTTTTTAAATTGCGTGGTTTAAAATACAGCATAAATAACAATTTAAAATATAGCACATTATCATTTAAAATATTTCATAGGAAAAATATTAAGGACAGCATGAATTTCTTTTRCACTTGATTCCTAAACAAATGATTTGCGTATTTTGTTCTCAGTTTTCCCACTATGTTTTGAGTAAGCATCTGTAATAAATAATAATAGTAATTTTCTAGCTATACAACAAGTTATTCAGGCATTTGTATTTGTAGTCTTTTAGCTGTTTCCTTTAGTAACACTGAAAATTGCTCTTCTGTATAGTATGCAAATTTAAAGAAAAATGCRTTGGCAGAGCTACACCTTTGGATTACTTGAAGATAATTCCC